ATGAGCCAAATGAAAATGTAATAAACTTTTCGCTATTTTGTGCTATTACATCTATTCTCTTATTTTCGTTCAATTCCTTATTTATTTCATTTGCTTTACCTATTATTAAGTGAGAGTCATAGTTTTTTAAATTATGGAAAAATACTGGTATCTTGAAATATCTAAATGAATCATCCAAATTACATTTTTCGTGAGCACAACCTCTATACATACCAGTAAAATGACAGTGGTCAAGAACTTTTTTATCTTCTGGCTTAAACTTCTTATTGCATATTGTAAATTATGCTTCTTGTTCATCTGTAATATCATTGGTTTATTAACACTCATTTTATCAAAAATATCTTTTTTAATTTCTGTGAATTTATTTGCAAAGTGGTCTAAACAATCCGCTCCACGCTATAAATAAGGTTGGCTTGTATTATCAATAAAATTTACAACATTCAACATATAACCGCATGGTTTATGTTCCTGATACGTGCCCTTGATGCCATTATTTGAATGTACAGTTATACACTCAAAATCTCCATAAACAACAAATGGACACTTTAATTTTGTATTGTATTTTTCAAATTCAATATAACTACCTTCTTTTGGTAATTTAAACTGTTGCCCGTGTGTTGCCATACAACCAGTTTCATAATGTTTTGTTAATAAATCCTTTCTAGTAAAAGCATGAGAACAACAATGACAATAATGTTTTGGTTGGTCATTTTTGTTTGTTTGCCAGTTCATTAGACGACTTAGATTTTTAATAACAACATAGTGATGGTTATTTTCTGTTTCAATGTTCAAAAGGTTTATTTGATGTTTAGCATCTCTTGTTTTAGTCCTGTAATCAATTATGATTTTTTCGTCATTCAAAGTATCATCAATTTCATAAACATTGATTGAAACTAACTTACTATTATTTTCTTCAAACCTTTCAACATCTTTATTACCAGTTGGAAATTTAACACCTTCCCAGTTTAAGATATTGTCATTCAATTTGTTGTAATGAAAAGTATGTTCTGGGTGACCTTTACTAATCTTATCAAATACTACTGATTGAATACAATATTTGAAACATTTATTATCTCTATTTGAATATTGAGACATGCTTTCTTATATTTAATCCAATCTGGTAAATCAATATAACTACCTGCCCTAGTAGGGTCATATTTGTCATAATGCCTTGTGATTGATAATATCTTGATAAATCTTATATTAGATGCTGAACCTAACGTTTCTATGTTCAATAAAATATATTTGATTGATTTTTCAATTGCTTCATCCAAATCGGTTTCATTATATATGTTTGCCCTTGTAGCAGGTAAATTATAAAGTATCTCTGTATGTTTTAATACCCCTTCATCATCATAATCATGATAAAATAAACCTTCTGCCCTTAAATTCAATTTCATTGCTCTATTAGTTTTCAAAAAGGTCAAAAGTCTATCTTTTTGGTAGTGTATCATTGATAATGTTTTTTCACCTTGAAAATGTTGTTTTACTAGGTTTATAGAATTAGCATAACTTTTGAATGCTGATTGTTGGTCTGTTATTCTGAATTTGTTTTTTATAGCGTATTTTGCATTTTTCATTCTTTGTTTAAGGTATGTTGAGCGAATTGTTCTTGCAGCATGACTATTTTATTCATTGGTGTTTGCTACTGATTTGAATTTCTTGTTCAAAACATTCGAGATAGGTGTTTCTTTGTTGTATCTAAATCGTCTACCATCTATAATTATTGATTTTAATTCCTTGTTTCCTCTTTTTGGTATTTCCGCTTTGTCATTAACTAGTAGATAATCTATAACATGTTTCATAATACTATACTAGATAATTTAATATATGTTTATTTCTTTAAGTTAATTTAAATTATGAGTTCTTAACATATTTACTTAAAGTCATATTATCATATATGAATAACTATGTTTTCAGAACTTGAGGCGATAAAAGAAACACCACATTTCTTAGTTCTTGACTTTGTTTGTGACAGTTAATTAATACTAGTATCAATTATTGAAAGTAATGTCGTCTATAAACAGGGTATGTATGCTAGATATAGAAAGTGGTGTAGTATGAATAACAGAGCATGTATAACCTTTGATAAGTTTGATGAAGAGATAATGAAGAATAATGAAGTTAAATGGTTTACTCATTTTGGGAAAGATTATTATACAAATCTTATGTATGACCCAGAATAAGCACACATATTTATAACATTTATTTGGTTAAGTGTTGTAATTATGTTTCTACTTAAAATATACTTAAAGAAATAATGACTTAGTATATTAAGAGGAAAATGAGTGATACAGAAAGTGAATATAGTGAATATAGTGAGTATAATGATACAGTCGGTGTCGATGCTAAAAATATAATGAAACAAAAGTTTATCAGTTATACATGTATAGACTGTGTGAGATACTTAAATTACCAATTAAACATGGTTTTATAGATGGTGTTAGTAATAATATTTGTCAATATATGATATGCAATAATTGCAATAAAATCATAAACAAAATTGACACTATGAATAACGAAGATATTGATAATAGAAATGCTGAAACTCTTGATGATGATCTAGAAATATTTGTGTTTATTGAAATTAATAAGTTCTTGACCGAAGAAGAGTTTGATAATTTATTATTTGAGGGCGATGAAGAAGGAAATGCTAATGATTTTATTTTTAAGTATTATAGCATGGTAAAAATATTATACAATATGTCTTTTAGCATTAAACGTTTAAAATACGAAGCATTGAATGATAATGACTTTGATTTTGTAAATGAGTTTTTAAATTATAAGTATAAAGCTCACGAACTTAGATATACAGTAACACGTGCAGTTGAAGTAATGGGGTGGTTTAGAAAAGAAATAGGAAATGATATTTATAATGAAAAACCAGTTGATAAAATAGTGAAACGAATTAAACAATACATTTAAAATTAATTAGAAATAAAGTTGAACTCATAATATAATGATAACATGTACAATCCTATATGTTGTAATTATACTATACTTATGGTTTGTTTCTTAATTTTCTCAATGCCTTAAAAATGACTTAAAGAAATAGTGCCTTAATACAATAAGAGGAAAATGAACTGTGATGAAATCAATAATTATATCAATAAGAGATGCTATTATTGTTGTCACTTCAAAAAGGAAAATATGGAATTGTACAAATTAAATTTACCTAATGGAATAATACATAATATTATTAACTATTCAATGGATGAAGAAGACGAATGTGAAAACTGTATAAATTGGAGAGATAATCAAACTTTATTCAAATGTGTGTTGGGAATAAAAAGAACACATAATAGAAATGTAGAAGATGAAATTTTAATATTTCTTACTGTATATAAAATCCCACCTTGCGATTATGTTAAACAGTTTCTTAAAATCAGTAAGAAAAATATGAAATGATTGATGATATATTATGGATGTTGGGTTATCGTCAAAAGAAAGGAGACGATGTTAAAGAACATATCAAATTATTTATTGAAAGTAAAAAATATAATGTTCAAAATACAGTGAGAGATATTAATACTATTTTTTAAATGATGTATGAAAGAAGTAAGATGTGTCCTTAATAAGAGGAAAATGGCACTGTTTAATTATAACAAGTGTCCTTGTAAAAATAGAAACTGTAAGTCTGTTGTATCACTAGCAAAAAAATTACCTGTTAATGTTTGTAATATTATTGGTGACTATAATAAAGCGGATAGTTTTAAATGTCAGTGTTTGAAAGAAAAAGAAGAGAGTCTCATGAAAGAACCATTTTTAAAAGATGAAGGATTAGAAAAAGCAGAGGCTCAGTTATTGTTCTTCAGAAGTATGTTTAACAAAGATATGTATTACTCAACTGCATTTAAATCATCAAGATAACAAAAGTTATAGAAGATCAACAGACAAATTATTTGATAAACAAGAGGTTAAAGACAGATTTGTGAATAGGACAAGTTATTATCAGGCAATGAAATCATACTGTAAAAATAACAGTCTTGAAGTTAAGAGCATTTTAGAATACTGTATTAATGTTAAGAAACTAAACCATATGAAGCGTGATGGGTTATTCATGCCAAATCTAAACAGTTGGTGGGAACATAGAAATAAAGATTATTATATGAGAAACATCTTAAGCGACTTAATGGAAATTTACACAGACCAATTAATAAAATGATACGAGCATTATTGTTGTGAGTGTAGTATGAGTTGTTATAGTGGTTGTATCGCTGGTGAGATTGAATTTGGATAAAAACAAATAAAAATAGAATAAACCTCTTTATTTATATTATGTTATTATAATATAAATTAACATTGTAAAATCTTATATGTTGTAATTATACTATACGTGTGGTTTGTAAAGATTGAATTATTTTAATTTTCCTTAATTTGCTTGACTCTTTCAAAGTGTGTTGTTTGAACTTGGCATGCTCTTTTGATTTTTTTGTGCTTTGACTGTTTTGTATTTATTTTGTTTGATACTCTTCTTATAGTTGTTGTTGTTGTTATACTGCTTTGAAATTTGTTAGTGTGTGTTTTTGAGTTTGTGTTCTTTGATGGTTTTTAGTTTTGCTGTTTTGTTGGTATGCTTGTTGGAATTAATTAATGTTGTATGCTGTGATTAAATATTTTTTGTGGGTTGTTCTGGTTTTTGAGTTGCTTGGTGGTTCTTATCTTGTTTTCTGTGAATTTTGCAGATTTGTGTTTATGCTGTTTGATTATTTGGTTTTATGCCTAAAAATGCCCTTTTTACTATTTTTTCACCCACCAGTCACCGAGTGGATTGTGAGCAACAAGCCAGACGGAGAACATGCACAGCTTCACTGCGCGACAGTACAAGCTCTGAGTTCAAAAGCTCCCCACCTGAATTTCGGCGGGGTTCTGCGTGCCAACTCTGAAGAACCCGAAGCCACGGTCAAATGACTTGTTTTTTCCTTGAGGGACAAGGGAAATGTCAGCTTTAGAGCTCCCGATTTGTCCCGAATCAAATCTCCAAAGCCTCAGGCCCGGGCCAGACAACTTCGCCTGCTGAGTCAACTTCACCTGCCACCAAGCCAGTCCCTGCCCACCAAAGTGGCGGAAAGGACAAACAACCTGAGGGTTCGATCTCATGCTCGAGAAGCAGCAGGGAATGAGAAATGGAACCACCCCCCTCTAAACCATCCCATGTGGCTTCCTTTCTTCGAGAACCCCAAAAACTGGTTCAGTCGCAGCACCCGGAAGCTCATTCCTCTAGGGGACACTTCCCCATTCTTTCCAGGGATCCTTCTTTCCAGAAAACCATCAGCACCCCAGGGGAAACAGCGATCGGCTTTTGAAAAGAACCATGGTCTGCTTGCACCAAAGTCCTCGGGAGGGCTCTCAGAACTATGGGCAACCCTTGTGGCTGTACAAAATCAGACTGCAACTCAGCATGCTTCCGAGCCTTCTTGAGGACGCCCTCGACCGATTTGACGGCGTTCATGCAAGAGCTTACACGGTCATCGCCCATATTTCGGGTAGAGAGCTTTGCAGCATCCAGAATTGCTCTGACACGGGCAATCCGGCTGAAGTCGCCTAAGCTCCAAGAGAGAGGCCCCACAGCTGACTTGGGACCACCTGCCTCCAAACACTTCATCGAGATGTTTCCGACCTGGATCTGGCTCGGAGAGCATACCCAGCATGAAGTCCTGCCGGCGGGTCTTTGTGATGTTGCAACTTGTGGCCAGCATTTGCTAACAGCCATGAGAGATGCAACCAGCTCCCGAGCAGACTCAAAGCTCACCAGAAGATTGTGCTCAGGATTGGCCAACCTGAGTGCATGCATGGCACTTGGGACAGCACTTCGTTTCAGAACCCTGCTAAAAAGATATCCTAACGTTTTTCCGAATGAAAGGCGTCAACCCATGTCAACCCAGGATTGTCTAGTCCTCTCAAAATGGGAGGCTGCTTTGCTTTGGAAGCCACGCAGGGGGCCACTTTCGCGACCTAAGGACAGATCTCAGCCCCAGGCTTCACCGTGCTACCCCGCGCAGCATTGACCTGCCGCCATGCCACCTGCGAGAAAAGTGGGCAGGACGTGTCTTCCAGTGGCAAAACGTGCGGCCTCCATGACCTGCAGAATGTTGTCCATGGCCTCCGGGGTCCTAGCGAAAAGAAACGGTTCAGCAAGGGACGGCCCTCCTTTGGTGCGGTCCGGGGAGGGTTCAGCAAGCCCCGCTCGCACGGGATGAAGAGGCTCAGTCTCGGCTGCTTTGGAACATATTCACGGCCCACGTTGCCCAGGCCTCAGCCGAATCAGCAAAGAACCGGCGCTCTGGCCAAACTCGGTTGCTTTCTGCTCCCCGGCTTTTGGCAAAAAGTTAACGTCCTAACATCCAAGCAAAATGCACCAAAGAAAACTGTTTCTTGCTTCACCGCTTTTGGGCGAGGCACTGCTGGCACGGGCGCTGGAGCCACTCCGAGCCACCATGGCAGCGCAGGGCGCATGGGCCCCAGCCAGCGTAGCGCCGCATCACGGCACGCAGTGCGCGACTAAGGTCACCGAAGCCA